CTTCAAATACCTGAAAGTCTACTTCAGCTTTACATAACAGAGGTTATTCATTAATTTCACTTTCCCGGCTTTTCCTGCTTGTCAGCCCTGTCCCATGTGCCGTTTGCGACTCCCTTTTACCTTTTTTTTGCAATCAATTAATACCCAATACCAAAGGCAATAAAATTTATATAGTCAATTTGTCTTTCGGTCTTTCTGCACGTGTCACACATTTTTTTAGCCCAAATTTTGCTTTGTTTCGTTTTGCGACAATGCAGCCATTAATTTGGTTTATTAATCTACCCCCGATTGGGTATTTCTAGGGGTTCCACGTGGGGTTATTTCGAAGTTTTGCAAAAAATAAAAATAAAAATAAAAGAAAACATCGAAATTATTCTAAAGAATCTTTTGTTGTTAAATTTCAATGTCACCAAAGCCCGGGGCTATTTTTCTTTCTTCTGTGTTCGTGTGTGTATATGTGCGTGTGTGCGTATGTGTCTGTGTGTTTATATGTATGTTTTTCCTGCTCGTTACTGTTGCGAGATAAATTGTTGTCAATAAATTATCGACAGTCGGTCTTTCGGTAGCTCTACCTTTGCTATCCTTCTCGCATTGCTTCCCTTTCTCTCTCTCTCTCTCTCTCTCTCTCACTCTAGCCACCCAGAGGGCATGCAGGATGTTGTATATCCTTTCTTATGTGAGTTATTGTTACTATATATGTATGTGAGTGTATGTGTGTGTGTGTGTGTGTGTGTGTAGCTGAATCACACATGGGCTCTACTCAATTTATTGCAGTTTGTTTTTCAGTTGTTTTTTTAAGTATTTTTTTCTCATCAGGAGCAGCTGAATCAACTATTTAAGAACTATGATTCGCCTGATTCGGGACTTATGATATCTTGGTGGAGTTTCCTTTTGACCTCGATAGGGTCGTACTACCTTTATATTAACGCAGATAATGTCAAATTTATTGCATTATTTTCGCGCTGCTTGTTTTGCAGTTACTTTTTATTTTCATGATGGCAATATGCGTGCCACGCCCCCGCCGCCCCAACGACCGTTCTTAACTGTGCTGTTGTCGTGGTTGTTGTTCTTGTTGTTGTTGTTGTGCATAAATCAAAAGGTAAATGGCTGCATTTTTATGGCTGCCTTTTGCGCCATCGTCGGCTTTGGCGTCGGCGTCGTCGTCGCCGTCGTCGTCGCCGTCGCAGCCATCGTTCATCGTTCGCCTTTTGCGCTGTGCTTCGCTTTTATCACACAAACATTTCTGTGATAATAAATGCCATAAAAATGAAGAAATATGTGGTTAATTTTATGTGCTCTGCCTCCTTTTTATATTCTCTCCGCACACACACACACACACACACATGCACAAAGATACTTATATACATAAATGTTTTCGCGGCTACAAATTTTTTCGCTTCTGCTCAGCGTTTTTACATCCCTGCGTGTAATTTATAATATTTTGTGTTATTTATATGGCAACCCCGACGCCTGACGCCCCCCACCTCCCCCACCCGTGGCCAGCAGTAGTAGTAGTAGAAGCATCTCGTTTGCCATTTGCGTTCGCATTGCTAGTAAATAATTCACATGCCCCGCAAAATTTATGACGCTGACAAAGTAGCCGTAAAAATATGAATTACTTACGTGCAACGCACTCGCTCTCCCTCTCCCCCCTCTCTCTCTGTCTCTCCTTTTACTTACTCACTCACTTGCACACAATGCATATTTATTTTGGCATTTAACGCAAATGAGCCCGTACTGAAAACAACCAACTGCCGACTGCCATCACCTCTTGTTCTTGGCCAAAAAGCCGCAAATTACGTCTAAGCCGCATTTGTGAACCAACACGCGTTTCCCTAATAAATCCATCATTTTCTGCGAAAGGCCTTGGCCTTGGCCCAAGACTCTAGTAAATAGAGCTGCATTGATCTACCTGCTGAGCCGTTAGGTATTTGTGCGATTGCGTAAATACCTGTAATCGGTTTATCGGGCGAATTCTTTATCCGCATCTCCATCTTTAGCTGATTTTCGAAAATCTCCAGTTACTTAAGTTGCAGCACTCGAAGATTATGTAATCTTACAGATCTTACAGATGTCCAGCCTAATCTCATCCATAAGAAATTCTCCTACATTGAAAACCTATTTAAATCCCATATTCGGATATAAAAGAATTCAGTTTCAAGCCTCAAATATTAGAATTACTTAGTGTTATTATTAATACTATTATTAATTTTCTATTGAATTATATTATATTATATTATTTTTATTATTATCATTATTATTATTACAATCTTATTTTATATATATTCTATATCAATCAACTCTCAACTCTTATTCAGAGACCTCGCATGGCAACAAAGCATATTTTTCATTTCAGGTTCAACCCAATCTCGCCCTTCGCTTGAAAATGCGTTTCATCGCCGAAAAAGTAGTAAGCCGAAAGTAAATTTAATTGAAGCCTTGTTTAGTGTGAGCAAACCCATTAACAGCTACTCAGTGGGTTGTATTATGAAAAATTCATGAACTTGAGCAACCATCAAACTATTAAAAAGTCCAAAGTTCATCATGTGCCAGCGCCAAGCACATGTGCAACTGATCTCTTCCCCCTCACTTGACATTCTGGCACTCTTCCTCTTTCGCTCGCGCACACAGTGCAACTTGTGTGCACTTACGGCAAAGCTTAATTAAGACACACACACACACACACACAGATGTGCATGCACAAACCTACACATATATGTATGCGTATGTATGTACAAGAGACGATTACTAGCGAACAAAACATGTGAAAAATTGTTTGGTACAACTTTGACACGGCGACAAAACAACGATTTCCACTTAAACAACAAACAGAAGCTCTTGTGGAAAACAAACCACAAAACAGAATCCAGAAGTTAATCGAAAAACGCTAAACAATGCTCGAGTCGCAGTCAGAGTGAAGTGAGAATCAGCGGGCGGAGTCGGAGTGGGAATTACACTGGGTAAGCACACTCGGCAGCAGTCGGCGCTCAGCGCTCTGCGCTCATGCGATGGAGCAATGGAGCAATGGAGAGAGCGGCAAACAAATTAATTTTTATATATGACATTAAAGCGAGCGAGCGAGCAGCAGAGGCGATTGCATAAAAAGAAGAGTGGTTAAGTGTTGAGTGACTGAGAAACAAATCTCGGCGAAGACAATGCGACTGAGCGTCGAATGGCCTGGTGTTGACAGCCGACTGAGTGGGAGAGCGAGCGGGAGAGCAAGCGGCAGCGCTAGCTAGATTGAGTGTGAGCTGCTGAGGCGCGTGACATATGTGTGAAGATAAAATTAATGTGCGCGTCAAAGGCGAACTTCCGCGGCAGCCAGCTACAGCTACGTCTACAGCTACCAGCACGAACAAAAACTGAAAGAGCGCCGCTCTCGCGCTCAACTGTTGCTCTCACATCGAGTGTTGCCGTGTTGCAAACAGCCACTGAGCCAGTGAGCCACTGAGCCAGTGAGCCACACATGCCCATGCAGCTGACTGATTCTACAAAAACAAAAACAGAAAAAAACCTGCTAGGCCACTTTGCGGCTTCCATTGCATGGCGCATGCGATGTGATTGGGCAAAAAGTACGCCATATTTGAAAATTACACACAGTGCAGCTCGCTCGCACAGCACACTCGCCTCTCCTTGCACCAACGCGCTCAAGCGCTGTGCAGCGCTGCTTACCGGTTTTGAGCGCAGCGCGGCCAGAGAGCAAAGAGAGCCGCAGCGAGAGCACGCTCGTAGCTGAGAGCGCATTTTCGCTTCACTCTAACGCAAGTCACCGAACGGCACATTCGGACAATTCAGTTCGAGTTTAGCCTTCGATGCGTTCAGACGTGTTCGGAAAAAGCCTAAAACGGAAAGCAAAGCAAACTCTGCCAGCAACAGCACTTGTGCATCTGTGTATATCTCTGTCTATCTGCTCAAGTACTTGTATCTGACGGAACGCACGGCTGTCAGATCGTTCGGCGTGTAAAGTGCTTGAACAGCCAAAACAAAAAGTGAAAGATACGCCACTTGGCCACTTGTCAAAACAGTGAACGCAAGCAATTTCTGAAATTAACAAGAAATTCAAAAAAAGAAAAGTGTGAAAATACCCTGGAATTATTTCAAAGGAAATAATCAAAGAATATACCAAATCTGAAAACGAAAATTTCAAACATCAAGTTTTGCCGTCGCATTTCACTTGGATTACCCCCACACACATCAGCCAGCCGCTGACAGATCTTGTTCAGCATCCTCTGTGGATTACTCTATTAGGACAATCGCCAACAGCTCCGCAATGGTTGTCTTGGAAGGCGGCGGTGGTGTTGTTACCATCGGCAACAACCAGTACTTGCAACCGGATTATCTGGCTCCATTGCCAACCACGGTTAGTACTATTTGTTAACACATCATAGTTGAGCTCATAAAAAAAAAACAAATAAATATGGAGCATAAATTAAAAATTTTGCTGTTAACATTTTTTGAATTCAACAAAAAACACTTTGATGAATGAGTAAAAATATTATTTAACGAAAAAATTGCAATCGAAACTCTTCAAAATGCCACAAAAAATAAGTGAATAAAGCAAAATTAAAAATTGCTGGGAATTTCATTTAAATGTGAAAATGGGTTGCCTTAAACGAAAAAAAATATATATATATAAATATAAAAAAATATATATATGGGAGTATTTTATATATATAAATATAAAAAAAATATATGGGAGTATTTTATTAATAATTTAAAAATGTTAACGTAAAAACAAAAGTTAATTAGAACAGAAAAAGTAAAAAAAATTGTTTTCTGTTAAAGCCGAATTCAAGTTTCCGCTGACATATGAACTTTTAATGAACATTATAAAACATTT